CCTTGAACAAAGAATATCTTCTTTGGACAAGGATGAGGAAGGCTTCAGAATTCAGGTAAGAGTTCAGTTAATGGTTTGCTTCATTAAACAGAAAAATAGTCACCTAAATTTTGGCACAAACTTGGAGAATCATTTTCCTAAAATGATTCAGTACCCCTTTGACCAATTCCTTTTAAGGGCTCTTCAGTTGGTCAAGCTGTGAACTCAAGAAATGCTTTCATTGACTGAAGTAATGAAAGACTTCTCCCTTCTCTTACTCTGATCATTACCCAAATATCTTCAGGGCATGGGAATAAACCAACGGTATTAAGAAGATTAAGGTATTTTCTTCTCTGAGTCTGGTTGTTGCTGTGGTTGTTTAGTCCTTTCAGTCCTGTCTGACTCTTCCTGACCCCATTTGAGGTTTTCTTGACTTCCCATCTCTGTCTCCAGCTCATTTTACTGTTGGGGAAACTGAAGTAAACAGGGTGAAGTGACTTGCTCAGGGTCACACAGCTATTAAGTGTCTGAGGTCACATTCGAACTCAGGAAGATGAGTCTTCCTGACTCCTGGCGTCACTCTATACACTATGCCACCTAACTGCCTTAAGACCTTAGCTTTGTTCCTATCCATGCTTGATACTCACTAGCTGTGTGACCCTGGACAAGTCACTTAACCCTGATTGCCTTGCAAAAAAAAAAAAGTTACATCTTGAGTTAGAGGAAAAGGATTAGTGGATGGTGGTTGTTTCTTGGGAAGTTTAATTCAGTACTGACAATGATTCCTTGATTCTGGTAAGACAAGAAAGGACTTTAGACTGGAGAAAGATTTATTTCTTAATATTTTCAGTTGTAATAAAAAGAATTCTGTAGAAGAAAAGGACCCTTCTTTCCTCTACCCCACCTAGAGCCAGATTTTGAATTCTGGATGGCTGGTCCTCAAGAGAACCACAAGTTGGGAGCCTCTCCCTTCTTCTGCTCCTGGTGGAATACCCCACGTCAGGGGTGGGGAACCTGAGGCTTTAAGGCCACACGTGGCCTTCTAAGTCATTAAGTGTAGCTCTTTGACTGAATCCCAATCCTTTTATTTTTATTAATACATTTTTGTTCATCTTTTTTTTTTTTTTTGCAATTAGGGTTAAGTGACTTGCCCAGGGTCGGGTCACACAGCTAGTAAGTATCAAGTGTTTGGTCTGAAGCTGGATTTGAACTCAGGTCCTCCTGACTCCAGGGCCAGTGCTCTATCCACTGTGCCACCTAGCTGCCCTTGTTCATCTTTTATATTTTTATTTTTAAAATGAAGGTATTTGAAATACCAAATAATAAAATAAATTTCAATGAAATACTCCTTCCAGACTGACCAGCACAATCAGAACATTAGTAAGCCATAAGGACTAAACTGCCAGGTGCTACACTCATTACTGATTTCTAGCTTCCCCCACCTGACTGGTGCCACTACCCCATGAGGCTGGCCAGCAATATGATAGGGGTCAAGTGTGCCAGTCTGTTATCAGCTTTTGACAATGGTGCAGTTTGGGTTTGAAGTGGAATTTGTAAATAGTCACACAGTTCGACAGTGTTTCTTAATTCTGTCTGCTTAATAGCCCATCATGTCGAAGAAGACCAAGAGAACACTGAAGGAAGAATACAGGTTTTTAAATGAGGATTGGGAATTGCAATATTATCTTGTTTCTGCTTAAGATGAGATGATTTGCTTGCTTTTAGATACAATATCAACATTAAAGAAATTCAGTGTTCATCAGCATTATAACACTCATAAGGACCACAAATATTTTAAATTAGAGGGAGAGGCATGAAAGGTTGTATAACAGAAATTAAAAGATGAAAAGCAAAAGCAAAGACAACTCTTTCAAGCAGCAATAAGATCTGGAAATAATGTCACTGGAGCAACTTATAAAGTTGCTTATATACTGGGTGGGGGGGAAAGGGAAGCCATGCAGTAATGCAGAAATTGAAAAAGAATGCATTGTCAAAGTTGAGGGATGCTTAAATCCCAGTAACATTTTTTTGGGGTGGGGGGAAGTGAGGCACTAGGGGTTAGGTTACTTGCCCAAGGTCACACAGCTTGTAAGTATCAAGTGTTGGAGACTGGATTTGAACTCAAGTTCTCCTGACTCTAGGACCAGTGCTCTGCATCACCTAACTGCTCCCCCTTACCCCCCCCATAACATTTCGAAGTACAGCCAACTGCTTTTTTGAAGGAGAATCATAACTGATCAGAACATGAATTAACCTCCAACTTAACAGAACTTCATGAAACACTTCAAAAGGAAAATATATATTATTCAATAGCTTTGGAGGAATCAATTGATACTATTGACTGGGCACAGGTTTTGTACTTCATTTGGGTCATAACAGAAGATTTTCTTTGCTATGAAGAGTTACTAGCTTTGGACACTGTTGCGAACAGAACATAGGGAATAGATATCTTCAACAACTTTCAAGATAAATGTCATGAAGTTGGACTGAATTTGGTAAATTTAGTGAGCGTATGTACAGATGGTACACCTTCCATAGAAGGGAAAACGCGAAGGGTTTATTGCACAGATAAAAAAAGCATGAACAGATCCAGATGCTCTCATTTCTTTTCATTGTATCTTGCATCAGCAAAATCTCTGTGCTAAAGCTACTATTTAGGGCAGCTAGATGGCACAGTGGATAGAGCACTCCTGGAGTCAGGAGGACCTGAGTTCAAATCCAGCCTCAGACACATGATACTCACTAGCTGTGTGACCCTGGCCAAGTCACTTAACCTTGATTACCTCACCAAAATAAATAAATAAATAAATCTATTTCAAGTGACATCTTGCAATAAGTTCTAAGTATTCCCTCCCTCCAAGGTAATAAAATAAATTTTAAAAAATTTTAAAAACTATACTTAGCAGGTTGACAAACAGGGGATTGCAATGGTGCCTACAAGCTAGAGTGAGCTCTTTTAAAAAATCCTTGTGCATTTCCTGGGTTGCCATCTCCACAGAGACTTTCCAGATCCACAAATCCAGTTCCAACCTCTCTAATGACCTGTATCACCTCCCATCACCAACTGTTTTTTGGCCATCTCAAACCAGATAGCTTGCATTTCAAACTCAACATGTCCAAAAAAAGAATTATTTTCCCCTAAACTTTAATCATTTCCCCTCCTGGGAGGGCTTATAAATGATAATCACTAGCAATTCAGCAATTAGTTGACCAATGGAGCTAGTCAAGCAGGTAAATTTCAGTTCTAAAAACCACTCTCCCACCTAAAATGAAACCCAGAAGGGCTAGGTTCTTACTCTTCCCTGGACACAGTCAATGAGGTGATGGTGGGGCCGGTACGCGCAAGCTGGTTGGGGTGGGGTTTCCCCAAGGGAGTGTGTTTATTGGCCAGTATAACCCTCTAGCAGGGGACACCAAGTTCAGCGAATCGATGGAGTGGGGCAGTGCTGGATGATAATGGCTGAAGCAGGTCACAGGGTATGTCTGAGCCATAGTGAGGGTTCCTGTTTACTGATCTTCATCCCCATGGATCACCATGTTTTACACCGTTCTCTGGAGACTGAGAATCCATCTCAAATCCTTTGCCCTCTTGTCTTACTGTTGCTAAGGGCCCAACTCTTCAGTGGGAGAGTTGGGGTAGGGATTCCCAGAACTCCCATGGGCCACACTTGCTAGCCTCTCACCCTGGCATATTCTCTCCCCCCTCCCCCCGCCCAGTCCTTTTCACGTGCTGGTACCACTAAAATTCTGTGTTATCTAATCTCAAGTGAGCTTTCAACCTGGAAGGCAATCCTTTTCCTCCTCCCTAAACAGCTGGCCATTCCACTCTCTGAGGCTGCTCATTCTCTTCTCTCCCTGACTCCTCTCCAAGGTTGTCAGTTGGGGACTTAAAAAAAAAAAAGCCGTTATTAGCTAAGCGCTCCTTCTCTTTCACATGATTCTTGTACCTTTCCCCACTTAGTCCTCCCTTTCTGCTACCAGCAGAGGTGGCCCTATTCCTTGCTAAGGTTATTCCCCAAATGCCCGTGAGCCATTTCCTCCTGACATCTCCAGCAGAGTGCTCCCACTATCATCTACACGTTCACCGATCTTCAATCTCTCTCTACCTACCAGGTCCTACAAACACACTCCTGCCTCCATCCTTCAAACCAGCTGAACTTGCGTCCTTCTCAGCTTAACTCCGGGTGTCTCCACTCTCCCAGCTTCCAACCTCATCCCTCCTGTCACCACGCCCTCTTGAATGCCGTATCTGGCGGATTCTCTCAATGCTCTTCCTTCTTGGCCTCCATAGCACTGGGGACTCTGATCACCTCTGCCTCCCGCAGACTCTTAGTTCTAGGTTTTTGGGCTGCTGTGCTCTCTCTCGGTTCTTCTTCTGCAGTTGTGGGCATCCCCCAAGACTCCGTCCTGGGGCCTCTTCTCTTCCCTGGCTCTCCTATCTTGCGCAATGATCTCATCAGTTCCCACGGGCTCAGCTGCCATCTCCACAGAGACTTTCCAGATCCACAAATCCAGTTCCAACCTCTCGAATGACCTCTTATCACCTCCCATCACCAGCTGTTTTTTGGCCATCTCAAACCAGATAGCCTGCATTTCAAACTCAGCATGTCCAAAAAACAATTATTTTCCCCCAAACCTTAATCATTTCCCAATTACTGTTGAGGACCCCTGAGTCACGAGGTTAATCAAAAGCCTGGACCCTCAGCCATCCCCTCTGGCAAGACCAGCTTCTCTCCTGGACACGCTTTGGGAACCACTAATTTTGTTTGATAGTAAGCACTCAGTCAACTTGAATACTGGCGCTAGCCATCTTTCTCTCTTTTTCTCAAACACACACATTAAGTGGGAAATCTCCCATGGGCCCTAGAAATAGGGCCACACTTAGTCACCAAAGCCCAATGCAAGACCCAAAGCCAGATGCAGAGAAAGAAAGGTCTCTGGGGGGAGCCCACGACCCTTCTAATCCTCCGTCTAGCCCAACTACCCATCTGTCCTAGTAGTGTTGGGGATAACACAGGTGATAAGGCTGGGAATAGCTTTATTAGTTAAAGTCTGAAACACTGGTTGTGGTGCCCACTCTGAAGTAGATGGAGTCAGGGTGCTGAGCATCCTTCACCAGCGGCAGGTGCTCCCTGGTCCCCAGGGTCCTCGGAGTGCTTGAGAGCTGGTATAGATGGGGAGAGGGAGGACCACCAATTGCTAGGCCAGGAAGCGTTTAATCCTGCTCATGAAGTCCTGGGGTTGTTCGGCATGGATCCAGTGGCCGGCCTCCGGGACAGACAGGATCTGAGCTTGAGGGAACAGCCGCTTGATTTCAGAGAAGTGACCAGGCCTGTGGAGATGGAGGAGAGATGGGGGGTGAGAGACCGAAGGAGAGGTATAAAGGGGGCCGAGCAGCTGTCCACCCGTTGGCCCAGCCTTACTGGATAAATTTGGACTTGGCACCACTGAGGAAGAGAGTGGGGCCAGGGTAGGATTTCTGGAGCAGGGGGAAGTCCATGATCTTGTCCATCTGCTGGAGCAGGGCTTCGACGTTGACCCTCCACACGAACTCCCCGTTGCTGGCTTTCACCAGATTGGTAAGGAGGAACTGCCGTATGGGAGGCTCCTGGGGGGCAGATAGGCTTAGTCGGCACCCTCGCCTGGACTCCCACTTCCTTTCTTTCCTCCCCTCTCATGCCAGGCCCATCTCCACCCCCAGCTCCATCTCTACCCAGGGGCCTCCGTATCCTGACTCAGCAGCCACCCGACCTCCTGCCCCCATGAAAAGGGTGACTGCTCCAGAGGCGGAATGGACTGCAGAGGCAATCTCGTCCAACCCTCTCACTGTGCAGACACGGCCAAGGGAGACGACTGGTCCACGGCAGGAAGCACCAGGTGCAGGGTGTGAAGCCAGGTTCTCTGGTCTTTCTACTGCGGCACACCACCTCTCACAGGGTCCTCTGAACCTTCCTCCTCACTTCCCCAGAGTACTGCAACCCCCCACCTTGTTCTGAGAGCCTTGGCAGCTGTCTCCCCAGCAGGGGGCAGGGTTACCTTGATCAATAGACTGAGCTGCTCGTCTGCCACTCTGCGTGCCTGAGGGAGGGGCAGCTCCTTGGGGACCTGCACAGACTTCATGGCCACCAAGTAGGGAGAGAAGTCTGAGACGGCTGTGGTTGGCAGTGGGCTGACGTCCACCGAGATCAGGCGTTCCACCAGCTCTGGCTACAGGGAAAAGCGACCCCCAGGATGACCTGCGGTGCCCTCATGGGCGTCACTGAGGCAGGGCAGGGGGGAGCAGGGCTCTGAAAGGAGAAGGAAGGGGGCACTACAAGCCAAAGGTGGAAGACTGGAGACGTTCCGAGGCTTCCAGGGAGTTACTGATGGCACCCTTTCCAACCCCATCAGAGCAAGGTAAGGAGGGCAATTCTCAGAACTTGGACCTGAACTCTGAAAACCCCAGAGGTCGGGCACTGGAAGCATCCTCTCATCCATTAGGATTCAGCAGGGAGTCATCCAGTCCTGAATGTTGGCTGCCCCAGCCATACTTCTGTCAGTCAGGCAATAAGCACTGATTAAGTGCCTACTGTATACCAGGCACCGTGTTTCATTCCTGACTCCCTGGCTACCTTGAGTGGACCCTGTCTCTTCCTCCTCAGCCCTCCAGGTTTGGAACTATGATGAAAGACTATTCCGGAGTGGGGGGCCTAAACTCTACTACTCATATCCTACCTTGGTCCCAACTCACCACCATCATCCCTGTAACTTTCTGTACCAAAATGTCCCTCCCTGGACACTGCTCCCATACATGTGTTATCTTACTCCATCGCCCTTGAAATTCAAGGGCAAGGACTGTTTTGGTGCAGAGTAAGCACTTAATAGTTTAATAGCTCCTCCCTCCCTCTCTCCTCCTCCCCTCCCTATGCCCATGCCCCTGGCTCTCAGGGGGGCACTCCTACCCTCTGCAGCGCCAACATCATGGCTGTCTTGCCCCCCATGCTGTGTCCGATGAGGACGCAGGGGGTCAGGCCAAGCTGGGGCAGGAGGGCCTCCACGTCGGCAGTCATGGCCTCGTAGCTGGAATCAGGACTGTGTGGGCTCTCTCCATGGTTCCGGGCATCCACTATCAGCACCTAGGGAACAGAGACTAGTGGCTGTCTGCCTCCCAGTCTTTCCCCTTACCCATACGAGCCCTCTGCCCAACCTGGGGGTGCTAGCCTGGGTGCAGAAATGAGCAGACTCTGATAAGAGGTGGGGATGGGGCCTGAGACAAGAAGAAGCAGGGGCCCTGGCAGGGACTACAGGATCCTAGACAGACAGCTAGAAGGGACCTCAAAGGCTATCTAGCCAGTCCATTTTACAGATGAGGAAATTGAACCCCAAGAGGACAAATTATTTTCAAGTGGGCAGCAAGAAGTCAAGTCAGGATTTGAATCCAGGTCCAAACCAAAAGTAGCAGATACACATATGTTAATAACAGTTGCCATTTAAACAGAGCTTTCAAGTTTATAAATCACTTTACCTTCCTTCAGCAAGATTAGTTGAAATTCAGTGACTTCCTGATGCTAATAGGTCCAAGGTGGGATTTGAACATAGATGCTTCCTGTCTCCAATTCTAGGGCCCTTTCCCCCATGTGTCCCACCAGAATGTTCCCAGGCCACCCCTCAGCAAACTGGTTTGGCTCCATCTTTCTCTTTCAGCCCAACAGTCACCAAGGAGGAAAGAAAATAAGTCTTCAGGGAGGGTACAGGTGCCGTTCTGAGGAGCACCTGCGATTTTCAACATCAAGGGAAAAGGCACAGCCACCCCTCCGTCCAATAGGGAGTCCCAGGTATCCTGGGGGAGCTGTTTCTGGGTGCCCCCCAAATCATGGCATGTGGTCATGGGTCCCAAGTGCCGAGGCATGGCTGCTCACTTCAACTCCCTCCTTCCCGCTGTGTCTCTGTCCTGACCTACTAGCCATCGCCCATCACTCGGGGTCCCCCTTACCTTCCTGCCCGTTTGCTGCTGAAGGGTCTTGCCGATGGTCTGGAAGTTAGTTTTGCTGCCAAACAACCCATGCAGGAAGACAAGGGGCGGGTGGGTGTCCTCAGAGTCCAGCAGTCTGTAGGACAGGGGCACTGGCCTGGGGGACAGGGGAGACAAGAGAGGAAAGGTGGCTCAGATTAGGGGGCAGGGAGGGATGGGGGGTGGGGGAGGAAGGGCAGAGTCTCACCAGCCCCACCCAGGGTGGGGTGTGCGTGAGAGGTAGTAATGGAGGAGGGCGCTGATGCAGGAGGAACCTGGGGATAAGGCCAGGGAGGGGATGCAGTGAAGGGGGTGCATGAGAACCCGGGAGGGGGGACCGACCATGGGGGGAGGGGGGAGGGAGAGGAGGAGGAAGGGGGGGAAGGGCAGGGGGATGGGGATGGGAAAGAGCAGAGGGAGGGGGAGAAGGGGGAAGGGCAGGGGGGAGGGGGAAGAAGGGCGGGTGGGGAAAGGGCACGGGGAGACAGGGAAGGGGAAGAGGCCAGCAGCCTGGAGGGAAAAGGCCAGGCAGTTTGGGGTGGGGGGCCGTCACCCAGGAAGGGCGCCCCTCCTCCCTCCCCGTGGCCTCTGCTGACCTGGGGCCGCTGCTCACATGCGCGGCGGGGGCCCCGGGGAGGCCAGGTCCCCGGGAAGGCAGTGGGGGCTTCAAGGTCACCCCCGAAAGATCCCTCCAGGCCCGGCTCCAGCGCCACATGCTCGGCGCCGCACCGAGCCGGGCCCGTGGAAGAGCGATCCCCACGGTGACCCCGGCAGAGGCGGGCTCCGCTCCCAGCCGCCGTTCCGGCTCCGCGTACCGCCCACGTGACACCACGCATGCGCTCAGCGGCCAGTGCCCCGCCCCCGCCTTCTTCCCAGCGGACTGTTCCCCCCCACCCCCCCCACCTCCCCAAAGCACAGCTCCCCGCCCCGCCCCCTGATCCTCCCACACCCTATCCCTTCGCTGCAGCCGGTCGGGCCCGCCCCTAGTCTCTTTCTTGCTCCTCCCCCCTCCAACCCACGCCCTACTTTCGCGTAAGCCACGCCCCCGCCCTCGCTGTCCCTCACTCCTCCCACCCGCTGCTCCTGCCGCCCTAGGCCCACCCCTCCCCCCGCCTTTCCTGTACTCCTCCTCCTCCCACCAGGTGTCCCTGGCTTTCTCGGGGGAGGGGCCTTGGGCGGGGCACTCCCGGCTCCCTGGGCGGCAGCCTGCGACCCGGAGCGCCGGGAGCCGGGCAGTGGGCGGGGCCTCTGCACCCAGAGCCCGCCCCTGCTGCCTCGCGGGGACTCCCGACTTCAGAGATCGTCAGAGGCGGGGTGGTGCAGTGGGCAGGGTCTGCTCGAATCCAGTTTCGGATCATCATAATGGCCAATTAAAATAATGAGCAGCTAATTTTAATAGCATCTAGCTTTTATAAAGGACCTCTAGGTGGTGCAGTGGATAGAGTGCTAAGGCTGGAGTCAGGAAGATCTGAGTTCAAATCCAGCCTCAGACACTTCCTAGCTGTGTGACCCTGGGCAAGTCACTTTACTCTGTTTTCTTTAGTTTCCTCATCTGTCAAATGAGCTGGAGAAGAAAATGGCAAACCGCTCCAGTATCTGCCAAGAAAACCCCAAATGGGTCACAAAGAGTCAGGCTTTGAACAACAGCAAAGCCAGACCGAAGGCAGCCTCAGGGTGAAGGCGCTAGCATTGAGGGGATCAGGAAGGGAAGAGGTTAAGCATTTATATAGCGCCTACTGTGTGCCAGATTCTGTGCTACAGATGTTATCTCATTTGATTCTTACAACGACCTTGGGAGGAAGGTGCTATTATTATCTCCATTTTACAGTTGAGGAAACTAAGGCCAACGGAGGTGAAGTGACTTGCCCAGAGTCACACAGCTAGTAGGTATCTAAATCTGGATTTGAACTTGGATCTTCTTGACTCCAGGCCCTGGGCTCTGTCCACTGTGGATACAAGAAAGGCTTTTAATGCAGAAGGTGGGATTTTAGCTGAGATTAAAAGCATTTTGGCCTTCCTCCTACTTTGGGGAAGCCCGGAAGACTCAGGGTTAATTAAATCCTTCCTCAAGTATGCAGGAGAGGACTTTTAGTTTGGAAGAACTTTGTTGGAGGGAAAGATTCTTGAGCCCCAGAGCTGAGTAGGGCTTCCTTTATCACAAATCCCCTTGCCCTGCTCACCCCATTACCCCTATTTACTTAAGCCAGAAACATATGTAAGATTAGGACCCTGGATCTGGAGACAGAGCAGACCTTGGAGGCCAGCTGGGCCAGTCCCTTCATTTTCACATCGCCTCAGGGAGCTTCAGGGACTGGCCCGGGGTCATGCCAGAAGTCAGGAGGAGAGCCAGGATGTGACTTAGGACCTGGCCTCTTGCTACATGGCCTTGTGGACTCTCTGACCCTCAGTTAGTTTCTTCTTTGACCCAGGATGTGGTCTGTGACTCGGGGTTAGGGATGGGGTCTTGGCCTGAGGTTAGGGATATAGTCTGAGCTCTGGTGCTAAGGATGCAGTGTGCCTTCCAGAGCTAGGGGTGTAGCCATTGGCCCTGAACGGAACAGAATTCACTCTCTGAAGTCCGGCGATTAGCCTTAAGATCAAACCCCGGACCTTGGTTAGCAGTAGGCCTCAGAACTCTAACAAAGCAGCACCTTTGATCTTGGGCAGAACGCTTCCTGACTCAGTCTCCACACCTATAAAACCCACCACTGTATTGCCTTGTGTGGAGGAGCCATCAGGAATTTTGTTTTTAATCTTGGGAGGGCTTTGAGGCCCCTGCAGAAGGACTGTCTTTAAACACACCAGGTGGTGTTTTAATGAATCCTGGTTATCCTCATTAGGGAAGCAGGCCTGCACATCTGAGCCCAGGTGATGAGGGCCTGAGGGCCCTGGGAGCAAGGGTGGTACTGGGAGTGAAAAGGTCAAGCTTGGTGGTTTATTGGAGCTTGGGAGATGAAGGAAAATGAGGTGTCACATAGGCAGAATGATCTCCAGTAGCTGGGGACCCTCTCCCTCCTCACCCTCAGTCTTTTGGAAACCCTCCTCACTTTCTACTTCCACCCCTCCTCCAGATAAATGGAATCTCTGCTGACCTTGAAGAGCCCTGGTGGGTTCCAACTGGGGGGGGAGTGGAAAAAGGCTAGCTCTGGAGTCAGACACCCCTGGGCCCAGGAAATACCTCTGACCCTTGTACCTGGATGACCCTGGAAGTTCAATCAAAATGCTTCACAAATATGATCTCATTTTATCCTCACAACAGCCCTGGAAGGTGTTTAAAGATGGGGAAACTAAGGCAGACAGAGGTTGGGTGACTTGCCCAGGGTCCTATGGCTAGTTAGTGTCTGAGGGGGGATTTGCGTTCAGGTGTTCTCAAGCTCAAGGTCAGAGTTCTATTCACGTAGCAGAGCTAGGGATGACAAAATTTGGCAACTGAGCAGTTATGTTAAGGAAGCGAATAACATCCAGGCTGTGAATCTGAGTGACTGCGAAAATTGTGACCCTTAACAATAATTTTTAAAAAATTAGGACTAGAGGAAGGTTTAGGGGGAAAGGTAATGAGCTCCATTTTGGACATTCTGAGTTTTGAGATGACAAGTTGTTGACTGCCCTGAGCCTCAGTTTCCCCACCTGTAAGATGAAGAGGATGGACTGCATGGTCTCTGAGGTCTCTTCCAGCTCTCCCACACCTGCCTGAGCTGGGATTCCAGGGCCTAGTCCGAGGCTGCCTCTGGTAGTCGGTCTAGAGTAAATCATTGAACGTTCTCCAGAGCGTCTGATGCAGCGACAGCTAGGTCATTGTTGGCCTGCCTCAGCAGGGCCTCTATAAAACAGCTGGGGTCAGACCTCCATACTCAGGTGCTTATTTTTATTTTTTGAAGAAAGATATTGTGGGTTTGAGGGTGGGAGTGGGGGTGGGAATCATACACACTGTAGGTAATTGAGCCAAAGCGTTAACAACCTGTTCTTATAACAAAAGTTAACAACAAGACTCTGATGGAAATGACAGTGAGATCCCAGAACGGCCTGACCTGGAGGGTGCCACATTCCTCACACACACACACACACACACACACACACACACACACACACACACAC